TGCCGGAGGGAAGGAGATTGCCCGGCCCGCTGACCCCACTCTTGCTGGCGCCGGCGCCTCCAAGCCCAGAGGGGGGCCTTCTCCCGACCGTTGCATTTCCCGTGGAAGGGGAATAAGAAAAATAGAGTTTGAGAAACTAAGTAGGTTCGAAGTATTTTGAAGGAAAATTAAATATTTGCTTGTTTGGATTTGATTGTGGTTACGCGCTGTCAGAGATGCTGAGCAGAAGTAAACGCGGGGATACCGGGGTGAGGCGAAGGATAGAGTAGGTCAGGGAATTAAGAAAATCGCACGGGGACAGTGGGGGGGCGTCCCTCGTGATGCAGATCCTGGGGACACTTTGCCACAGCGGAGCAGCGAAGGAGAGTCCAGGACTCCTGCCTGGACGGCCAGCCCCTGTATCTCACCGTGTCAACAACGGACCCTGGACGCCCGGAGCTTGGGCCCAGAAGGTTGCGGCCAAAGCCTTAATGCAGAATGCTGCCTGTTAGCGTCCTAATATAGCTTTCCAGTTTCCTTTCCTGACTGGATCGTGCCTGGTGTAGGTGAGAAAGGTGAAATTGTGTGTAGACTACCAAGGACCTGACAAAAGGCAATACACGTAATCTTGGAGCCTTGGCAAAGCTTCTGGAATGTTCTCCAGTTCCTGAAATTTATTTGGGAAATGGGTAATTATCCCGGGGTTGGGCATAGGAATACTGGCATTATGGATCTAGTCCTTGTTCTTCTGGTCCTGAGAGGCTACCACATAGCCAAGGCTGGGTACCTAAAGGCCTCCATCTTGTGCTTGCACAGAATAGGCTGGTCAGTAAGGATTTATTGAACAGGTTATTTCTGTCCTAAGAGGTAGAGAATAATCCCTGCACTTTCCCTCCCAAGACTCTCCATGGGGAAATGGATGGAGTGGCCCAAGTGATCCTAAAGGCTCTTAGCAAGAAACATAGGGTGAAGATTTAGGCAAATTTCTCCCAATTTGATCTCCCTTCTGTCTTTTATTTCATCCTTTAATGTCCTACTTTTAATAGGAATAATTGCTCTGGGAACTCCTAAATTCACAGCCCTCCTCCTCCTTGCCAAGGTCAGGGCTCCTGTGACCCTCCTACTCACTCTACCATCAGCGTCTTCCTTATTTCCCTTAGATCATTTCTGTAAATTCCACCCTGTCTACACTCTGCTGACCCCTCCCCCTTTCTTTCTTGTGTGTTAGTGAAATAAGGAAAGCCTATACAGCAACATTTCCTGAACATGCACTGTGAGCGTGAGCCGGCCAGCACTTCGGGTTATTCCAACTCTCACACTTAGTGTAAACCTAGTAAACTCTCAGTTTCCTAGTTTATAAAATGAGGCCGATTGTATCTTCCTAGAAGGGCTGTACTGAGCAAAGGTAACCCCGTTAGAAGAATGCTGTCACACAGCAGCCTTCAATGATCAGTAGCCTTTAGTATTTTATGATCATTTTCCAAGAATTTATCTTTGAAATCCGAGTGAGGCTCGCTGTTTTTTCCCAGACAAATGGTTTAGAGAAGCATCCGTTCTCGGATGAAACTAAAGAAGAGGAAGGGAGAATGGTACTCCAACTGTATATGGAAAGTTGACTTAGAAAACAGCAGCGCAAGGCCATGGATTCTCTTTATCTTGATTCCTAAGAAGAACTCATCAGGCCATACTGGGCATTGAGATTGCGAGGTGTGGGCACTGCCTAGGAATATTTCCCTGGGCCTCCTGGGGAGATTTAGCGCACCCCTCCCTGTCCAGTCCTGCAGCTGGATTAGAAATTCAGTGCCGACCCCAGGAAGAGGGGAGCCAAGGTCGAGGCAAGTCTTGTTTCAGGCCCAAAAAGTTCCAGACAGTCTAAAGGAAAGTCCCAGAAGACCCTTCATCCATGAGGACGCGACTCCGGCCAGGCTGTGAGTCTGTGAAACTATTCCCCGAGGCTCCCCCAGAGAAGCTGGGCGGGCCTTGGGCAGGACTCCCTAAGAGCTGGTCTGGGCCGAGGGGGACGCGTGGCATCGGGAGGGTCCGGGAGGAGGACGGAGTCAGGAGAGAGGGAACCGCCCTCGAGCCACAGGGACTACCGAGGAGCGCCGCCCTCAGTCCAGTCTTGGGGCGCGCGCGACCCGGCTTCGGCCTTTTCCCTTCCCCTGCGGTCTCTCCCCGCGCTCCAGGGCAGTGTTCACGCCGCGCCCGGAGCGCTCGGCTCTGCTGCGGTTCCTCGCCGCTCAGTTTCTCTCCCAGCGGACGCGGGACTCTCCTCTCCTGGTCGCGGGTCTTCATGGGGTCTGCTGAGGCTCGGTCTCCCGCCCGGGTTCTGCGCCACGGCCCCGGGCTGGTCAGGACTAGTGGTCCCGGGTCGGTTTCCCGACTGTCGGAGCTGAGTCCTGCGCATGAAGGTCCGAGCTCCCACCCGTGTGGGGGGTGGGGGCAGGGAGAGACCCCTCGGGAGGGTCCGGGAGCCACCTCTGTGCATTTATTTTAAGGATATGTTTAATGTTAGGAGGGAGGATTCCTGCCCAGTCCCCACCCCCAGCTCTGGCAAAGGGAGGGTAGGATAGCCAGTGCCTCTCTCTGTCATATTAGTCAGGTAATTAATTGCAAGTCCCTGCGGAGACACCGCTCGCAGGACCGGTGGGCAGAGTGGGGCCCGCTGCCCTCCCGCCTGTCCACCCCACCCCAGTGTCGCCGGGGATCCTAACGCACTTCACCTAGTCTAGCCCGCTTCTTGGACCCCACTCCAAGTGCTCTTTTTCGGGTTCTTACCGCAAGAATAGGATCCAGGCCTCCAGCAAGAGGATGGGAAAGACTTTCAGGGGAGATGACAGGAATTCCAAGACCAGGCAGTTCCTCTGGGTTCAAATCCACCTGAGAAAGGCCAAGCCCGGCAGCGCCAGGCCAGCATGCCGGACCCTTTCAGAGACCATGGCGCGCCTGTGACGTCCCCTTAATTGGGGACCGGTCCTATTCCTGTGACCTCAGCTTCTTAACTGTACAACAGTGGACGGAATTAACGACTCACTAGTGATTAATTCTTTAACTGCGCCTTAATTGCCCTCTGTAAAACACCTTTCTGAAAATTGGATTAAATCATCTAGATCCTTGGTTATGTGGGGAACAGCCCTAGAGGACAGAGAGACTGCTGATTCCCAACCATCTTGAGCAGGCCTCCTGAGTCAATGGCAGGAGCAATGGCAGCCCCTCCTCATGGAAGTGGGGACATCCGTGGTCAGGTTGTCTGACCTGGTGGTGTGACTTTCAAGGGTGCATTTCTGCTGTAGGATTAAAATCCTCCTCTCCCGTCACCCCACCATAGACATCTATAACATAACACCTCATTTTAGAAGTTTTCCTCTGCCTTGTAGTTGGTGTAAAGTTAGTTACAGTATACTTATGTTAGTGAGTTTTGAACAAATTGTATAAAAGGATGCCTTTCTCTCCAAAGCTATCTGAGAAAGTCTTTTTCCAGTTCGGCTGTGTTCTGTAATATCCCCATTAGTGTTCTTTAGAGTTTCCCTTTTTTTTTCTCTATTAATGTATATTTGCATTACATTCATTTTGGAGACTGAGTATAAATATGTCATTTCTCGATTATTTCTGATCCCTTTATCCACCCTTCTCCTGTACCCTTTCCCCAAGGTCTGCGTCCTTGTTCCTATGATTTTGTTTTGCTCTTTAATTATTATTTCATATGAGATAAATCATGTAGCATTTAACTTTCTGTGTCTGGCTTATCTTACTTAACAATATGGACTCAAGATCTGTCCCCTCTCCTGCAAATGACATGATCCCATTAGTATTTTTTTTTAAAAAAAGCTGGTCCCTAGATCTCCCACTCACACACACCTGGTGCCTGTAGCTAAGCTGGTGCAAGGCATGTGGCACATAGTGATAGTCTCAACCCTCAAGAAGCATGGCCTATGGAGGGGAAATAAGGACCCATCTTAGTCACTTTCCTGCTTGCTGGGACAAATCACCTGAAACCCACAACTTAAACAGGGCGAAGTTTATCTTAGCTCACAGTTTGTAGAGGTTCCATAATCAGCTGGCTCCAAGGCAGAACAATGATGGATAGGCACAGCTGAGAAAAGTTGCTCACTTCAAGGTAGCCAGGAGACAGAGAAGGGCAGAGCCCAGAAGGAAATAGAACCTTAATCTAAGCAGACCCCTTAACACCTCTTAACAGGGAGCCTGATATAATGTCCCCATAATACAGTCACCTTCCAAACTCATGATGCTTTAGGAGCTATTTTAGGTAGAAAACATTACAGGATCCAACTCCCATATTTCCAAACGCTTACTGGTTTTCTTCCCCTGAGCATTTCCTGGGCCACTTAGAATAAATGTGTTCAAAACAAAACATTCTTTTATAGCTTCCTAAAAACTCTGTAAAGTTGTCCTCTCCCTCTGCAGTCACATCAGCCAGTGGGTGGGATGAGAATCATTCTTGACCTCTCGAGTCAAGTTATATCCCAGTGCTCATTCCTTCTTCCTTCTTAACTACACGTCATCCAGGTTTTAGCTGATCAATTGGCTGCAGGGAATAAAGACTGCTTTCAGCCCCCTTTCCTGGGAGGTTTGATTAAATCATGTATTTTTGGAAAGAGAAGACACTGGTAAGTCGTTCCAGAAAGCTGGGAGTAGGCTCTGCTCTTGACTGTCTCTGCAATCTGTTGACTATGGAGTCCCAGGGGCCTGTTCATGAAGTCCTGAGTTGAGAATCTTCAGAAACAGGAAGAAGGGATGTATGGTTGGACACCATACTAGCTCTGCATGATTACACAGACTTTCTATTTTAAGTCTAGATTTTTGGTCACTATCGGCCAAACCTAAATCGAAGGCATTCACTCTCGTCCTCAAGCCCTATGTGAAGTTAATTACTCAGCTTAAGTTATTTAGCTCAGCAAAGAACACTGGTTTTACTTCAGAATGCCTTTTACATTCATCCACACTTGTTTTCCTCTCTGAGCTCGTTCCCCAGCTCAGGGCTTATCTCTGTCACCCACACTGCCTGGCCTGCAGTGTTGCATTGTGGAACCACGTAAGACTCTACTCTATTTAGCAGGCATTGCTTTCATTTACATACTTTCATTGGGCTCTTTGCTTTCGGGCTGAGCCCTGCAGGTTTACAGATACAATCCCTCAGCCTTTTTGACACACTTTTCACACTGCAGCCGGAATTAGATGTCTCCAGCCATTCCTCTGCTTGGAAACAATTCCTGATGGCTTGTAGGGCAAAAGCCACGCTCCTGAAAATGGCATCTGGAGTTGTTCTACCTCCACCCATCTTCCAGGCCTGTCCCGCTTTCCCTCTGCACTCTCTGTCTGAGCACTCTGCATGTCACTGACCCATCATGTGCTTTTTCACACCAAGACGTTGAACTCTAGAACTAATGAATGAGTTCAGCAAGGTTCCAGGATACAAGATCAATATACAACAGTCAATTGTTTTATATATTTTTGCAATGAATAATCCAAAAAGGAAATTAAGGATATGATT